AAGTTTAAAGTGAGTCGTCATCAGGTCGTCATCCATTCAGATGCATGCATCTAGTAACTTGCCGAGCATGCGCACAAAAAAGTGGGTACACTAGTTACGTCTCTGTATGTCTCTACTCTGTGACGACATTCTGAGAACAACGGAAACCAGTGCTTCGCGTTTGATGGCTGTTAAGTATGGGTAATAGTATGGTTTCGAGGGCAATTTGGAAAAAAAAAACATGCACGAGTGTGTTTTTCAAAGACTATAAAAATTGCACGAACTCGTGCAATTTGAAGTCTTTGAAAAACTCACGAGTGTATGTTTTTTCAAATTGCATGAGAATCCATACTATTACTTATTAATAATAATATACATGAAAAAATTATGCAGTCACGTGCGTAAGTCACATTTAGAAATGGCATGTAGTAAAACACTGACTACCGGAACACCACCGGAACACAGGAACACCACCATTTTGTTTGGGGTTAGGGTTTGGGGTTAGGGTTATGGTTGGGGGTTAGGGTTGGGGTTAGGGTTAGGTGGTGTTCCGGTGGTGTTCCGGTAGTCAGTGTTTTACTACATGCCTTTAGAAATTAAGAAAATTAAGAAATTTGAAAAATAAAAAATTAAGAAATTTGCACTGTATTTCTTTTTTTGCACTGTATTTCATTTTTTGGCACTGTATTTCGAAAAAAATTGCAGTTGCTCTTAGCCAATCAGAATTCAGAATTTTTTATGTATATTATTATCAAAGAAACAAAATATTCCACAAATCTACCTGAACGGAGAAGGAGAGTATTTTTTCCAACAGCTCAGTAACATGTTTACACATGTTAATATTCTGTTTCTCTTGCTAGAACATATAAAAATTATTCATATTTATTAAACACAGCATCTGTCTAGATTGTAGCTATATAGTAATCAATGTAATACTGTGTTTTCAGCCATTCCTACCTGTAGGATTTGTATGAGAGTTTTAAGCCATGACAAACAGTTCTCACAACTAAATACTTCTGTCTTACATTGCTCTACCAAACAACCAACTAAACAAATACCCATCCACCTAAAAGGTAAAATTGTTTCAATCAGTTAAAAGTAATTCGATCTCTCTTATATAAAAGTAGTTCTCGTATCTACTGTATAAGGGGATGCACAGAAAACTTGCAACAAGGTTTGAGCAAATGGAATACGTTGGTGCAGAGCAGTAATTCGTTTTAGGAAAGGTCAACATGCCTGTATATTTACTTTTTCTGCAGGTAACCAAAAATAATCTGCAGTTAGCCCTGCGAGCGAACAGCTGGAACAGGTTTGGGAACGCATAGCATGCGGGTTGCGACGGGGGACTGGGCAACAGGGGAAAACGTTTTGAGCAATTGGGCCTGAGAAAGTCAATATTGGTAACAAGAAAAACATAACTCAGAGCTTAACGGCTTGAGATTTGAAAAACAAAATTTGGCCACATAACATACACATAGTTTGAAAATAGAAAAGAGAATGTTATAGAAAAGAGACACCTATTACAGTGAAAATACAAAAAGTGTCCCACTTCCGCTTGTGTAGTTTGTTGTGATTTACTGTAATTTGTTCTGTTTTTCTGTAGCGATTACCGATTTATCGGCAAATACCGCGATAAAACTTAGTTTTTTTCTTTTTTTAAGTATGATAATTTGTAGCAAAGGGAAATAATACATTTTTCGTTAATTTCATTGCATAAAAGGAACGAAATTTAAATTTTATCGCAGTATTTGCCGATAAATCGGTAATCACTACAGAAAAACAGAACAAATTACAGTAAATCACAACAAACTACAGAAGCGGAAGTGGGACACTTTTTGTATTTTCACTGTAAATGTGGTCGGTAAATATTGCAAAACGATACTGGGAAAAATTGAAATTTTCTACTATACTATCGTGCACAAGACCTTCTGACCCAGGTTTGCAGTTAAAGCTCCAGTCACTTGCAGGTAATGCGACAATCATGAAGGTCAATTGTGAGACGTGAGAATGATCGCTGCACGCAGGCTTTTAGCCAGGGTCCTAAAAGAGGGCGTCCAAATTTGGTATAACGATACATGATACATCCACAGTAAAGAGGAGGGCGGGGGTTCCAGAAAACGTTCCTCTGGAAAACCTTTGAAGTTAGTTTACGTTAGTTCATGTCAGTATCTGTTCCAAGCTCGTTCGAAAATTTTCAAACACGCTTGGCTTTGTGAGTTTGTGCCGCTTTCCTTCTTTACTTAACTACATGTATGACATTTTCATTCAGCCAGGTACACCATCAAATTGACTGTCTAATGTATAATAATAATGAGAATTGAAGCTATTTCGTTTCAGATATATTAATATACTTAGGGAAATAATTGAAAATAATTTCTCTTTTTCCCCAGAATTTGGGCGTCCATTTTTCGTTCTAGGGGCGTCCCAGGACACCTGGACGCCCTTCTGGCTAAAAGCCTGGCTGCACGTACTATATACGTAGAACAAACAGCAACTGTTCACGTTGAGGACGAGGATTCAGTTTAAGCAATCCACCATCTTTAGAGAGTTGTCAAGAACCTATAATTGCCCTCGAACAAGTAAATGAAGGTGTGAATATAGAAGACCAAGCTATGACAGCATCATACAGCATCGGGTAACAAACTCGTTACAGCATCGGGTAACAAACAGACACGAGCGGCGTGATCGAATGTGAGTCAACGTCAAAAACATGAAGACAATAAAACTAGGAAAACCTACCAGAGAAATCTACTGTAAGGATTAGTTTAGATGGTAAAGGTAGAGTAATACGAGCAACAAAATTGCTGCAACTTGCAACAAAATCTGATTTCAACGCATGTTAAGTATAGAAATATCGATACATGTTGCCTCGTGATTTGTAATGTATGTGTATAAACATTTTCAATTAACATGCGTAGAAATCAGATTTTGTTGCAAGTTGCAGCAATTTTGTTGCTCGTATTACACCAGCTTAAAGTTCTGAAGCAAGTTCGGTAGTTAATTTACTTGGTCAGTATACGTAGAAGGAGCATGTGAAGAAGAAATCAAGGCTCAGTAAAGCGTTATATGGCCAAAGATGAAAACAAAAGTGTTTGCATGCTAGCTTGGATACCAGGCCTAGAAAATATATTTCTCTTCTTGGCAGCAAAATCCAAAAATAAAAATTTGTAAGTCAAATATAACACTTCCTGCATATGCATACTTCCTGCATACTTTAAACATTTCAAAACGGAATTCTAGACCGACTAATCAAACCGGTACTGAATAAAACTGTATCTAACATGCCAACTATATCCTCTTAACGAACATATGTCACATTTCGAACAAAGTTGACGATCTACACGCTATTGTTGAAATGAACAGTCCCTCCTTGATTATGATTACAGAGTCCTGGCTGAATACAAATATACCCGACTCTGCTATAAGCATTGGAAGAATGTTCAATACCTATCGGCGCGACCGACTTACACCAGGAGGGGGTGTATTAGCATATGTGAACGCTTGTATACCAACTACATGTCTAAAAAATTTAGAAGAAGATAACAGAGAGGTCCTATGGCTGCTTCTTAAACCCCCCAGAACCCCTAGGCCTTTTAGCGTTATAGTGGTAGTTGGCGTCTACTTCCCCCCAGGGCAGTCGGCAGAAAGTGAAAGAGAACTGATTGAGTATATTACTGGGGGACTTGATTCTGTCTTACGCGATTACCCGTCTGCTGGTGTATGCATAATGGGAAACTTCAATCAAATGAAGCTGAGTAGACTATGCAGAAGATTTAACTTGAAGAAGTCTGTAAAAGCACCGACAAGAGGCACCAGAGTTTTGGACCAAATACTAACGAACATGTCAGATTTATATAAAGAAGTGGTGCACCTGCCTCCAGTTGGTCGCTCTGATCATCAATGTTTGTTGTATAGTCCCAAAACAATACAAACCATGAAGCCTTCTACTCGAAAAGTGCGCCTAACGAAACCATGTAACCTAAATGCACTCGGCTTAAAATTAAACCTTGAGGACTGGAAATCAATATTTGAGGCTCGAGATATCAATAATACAGTTAGTCTTTTACAAATACTATAATAGACATATTAGATAAAACAATACCTGTAACCACGATACGTACCCATGCGTCTGACACGCCATGGATGACGGCTTATATCAAAAAAGAGATTAAAGCGAGGCAAAAAGCCTATACTACTGGGAACATGACCAAATATAGACAATTGGCTGATAAGATCATTACACTTATCAAGAAAGCTAAAGCAGAATTTTATTCATCTAAGGTTAAAAGCAAACGCAAACACGATGCAGTAAAATGGCATAGAACGATATCCCAGTTAGCTGGCTTTGAAGGTGACAATCTAGACAACAACTTAATCTCAGACAGCACTTCCGATACAGTGGAAATACTGCAGAATATATTTACTAAAACCATGGTCAAAACTTCCTGAAACCATAATCCCTAGTCTTGAAGACGTAGCGTCATCACTGAGGCAAGAAAATCCTCCTACTCCCTCAATTGGACAGGTTAAGACTGCCTTGAAACAACTAAACTCTAAAAAAGCCACCGGGTCTGATGGGATTCCAGCATGGGTGCTTAAACGATACTGTGAAGAACTAGCTCCCATCGTTCATGACATTATTTGCGCCAGTATAAAAGAATGTGAATATCCAACTGCGTATAAACACGCCTTAGTTATCCCAGTTCCGAAGGTCAATCCATCAAGAGATATAGAGAATGACTTTCGCCAGATATCCATTCTTCCCCAAATGGCTAAAGTGCTGGAAAAGCTGCAGCTCAAACTGAACCTTCCCAGTTCACGTATAAATGATAATCAGCATGCCTTTACAAGCAAACGATCAACCGTGTCCGCACTCACCAACATCTCGCAGAACTGGTTTAATGTGACCGACAATACTCATAGCGCCAAAAATGGAGTTCATGCATTATTCATAGATTTTCGCAAAGCGTTTGACCTTGTTGACCACGGAATTCTACTTCGTAAGCTCGCAGAAATGAATGTAACCAAAGCCTTTTGGCTATGGACGCGTAGTTTTCTGGAAGATAGAAGACAACAGGTCAAACTAGCAGGAACCCTATCATCGGTCAAACCTTGTCCTGCAGGAGTCCCACAAGGTTCTGTGATGTCCCCAGCTCTTTTTAATATTCACATTAACGATATTGAGAACTCAATCCCAGATGGATTATCCATAAATATATGCAAATACGCGGATGATTGTACACAGGACGAAGTGGTGTCACAAGGTTCTTCCAGCCATATGCAGGAGGCCCTTGAAGCAGTACAAGAATGGTCTAATAGGAACAAAATGACGATAAATTCGAAGAAAACAAAAGATATGTGGATATGTTTTAACACAGCAATACCGGCACCAGAACCATTGGTCATTGGAAACGAGGTATAGTGGAAAGAGTAAATTCTCATAAACTGTTGGGTGTCTGGCATCAAAACAATTTGAAATGGAACTGTCATGTCAAGAACATTGTAAGGAAAGCAAGTAAACGAATGTTTAGTCTGAGAGAATGTCGTCCAAGATTAGACCTGTTTTAGAGTATGCAGCTCCGATATGGGGTGGTTTACCACAATATTATACCTCACAATGAGCTTGTCCAATCAGAGAACTAAATTTGTACCACATGACCATGGTATTTTTCAGCGAATACTATGACCTAGGCAATTTGAACCCTGGGTGTTTTACCTGGGGCCATGGTATTCGACTTCGAATACCACGCTTGAGCGGGAAATTCGACTTTTTTAAATGTACAGTTATCAAAAGTTGTGTTTTGAAATTAAAAGTTAATTGAATGGTATTTGTTTTCTACTTATTTTTGAAAGGTTCGGTATAATATACCATTTATAGACCTTTCACTCGGGGTATTCCACAAAAAATTACCCGTCGTTTCAGGTCTATAACTGATAAATATCTCATTGATGAAATAAAGAGCATTCAAAACAGATGCATCAAAATCCTCGGCACATCTCGGTGCAACTTTGAAACACTAGAACAAAGAAGGGCACACCTAACTGTTAAGGAATACCAAAGAATTCTAAGTGATCCGACCAACCCATGTAATAAACTTATCCCCCAACCTTTTACCCATGAACACGATCTAAGAACAACAAATAATCTACCATATGTTGTATCGTATACTAAAAGACACCGGCAATCCTTTATACCTAGAGCTCATATATCCCTTTTAAAACAGTCCTAAATTAATTTTATAGAATATATAACTAGTATAAACATTTTTAGCAACATTGATGTAAATAATAGTAAAATGTCTTCTTATCAATTTTAACCTTAGCACTTCTTGTAAATCCATCGTACTTTTCTAACCAAAGATGGATATTAAATGTTATTATATATTATATTCAGAGAACGTATTATACGCGCCGCACGTTAATTGTGATCAACTTCAATCTCCGCACAAGACAATCTCGACTTGCAAAATGCTTTTGGAATTTAAAACAAAATGTAAACTATATGGCATTAGTCCAGTTTATCAGATAACAAAAAAATCCTGCAATGTGTAAGAACATTTCCTGCGAAGATACTTTGTTAAAAATTTCCTGGCAGTAGTGCTGCTGGCGCTGCCGGATATTTTCCAGCACTGCTAGATACCAAAGACACGATGGTTGCATGATGTTGAATGTTCTCTATATTGTATTAAAAAGGCAGGATGGAAGGAAGGAAATGCCGTGGAACAAAAAGAATGGCATTATAAATGGATGAATTGAAGGGTCGATTAGATCTCTCTTTTGCAGACTTAAAACAAGATGCTCGATCAAAACGGCCTAATAGAATAACATAGCCAAAATGCCAAACTATCTGGTCTTTTGGTCACAATATTTGAATTATTTTATTCACTTGTGAATTAGCGGAGAGATTTCTTTTGCTGATAAATTCTGTCATTTAATTGTCATATATGTGCAATATGTTAAAAGCACAACGTCCTTTACAGACAGA